CCACAATCACTCCAAATGATGCTGCTATAAATTCATGGTTTCCAACCTCAACTGGGCTCTTGAAGTTTCCTTGTCAGTTTTTTCTTTCATTCTTCACAACGACCACGTTCTTTTTCTCTAAACCCTGACTCATTATTATTCCCATTAAAGTCAGGAATGCACTCAGAAAAGATGTTCACTAAGTTAAACAACAATGTTCTGGAAGTACAAGCCAATACAATTAGACAAACATTTTTAAAAGGGGTACATGATATAGTGAGGTACATGTAAACTCAAACACATCAATGTAAAAATGATTAAAATATTACAATTTAGTAAGGTGGCTATCAAAAAGTACTCACCAAAACAAGAGCTTACCTAAATAATAACCAACAGAACATATGGGGAAAAACACCTAATTCCAACAGCAATGGAAAAATATATTTAACCTTAGTTAGCCAAGACCAGCAAACCTAAACACAAACATATTCTATTAACACACATTAAAAAAGGTAACTCGAGCCCTAGCTGGTTTGGCTCAGTGGATAGAGCGTCAGCCTATGGACTGAAGGGTCCGAATTCGATTCCAGTCAAGGGCACATGCTTGGGGTTGTGGGCTCGATCCCCAGTAGGGGCCATGCAGGAGGCAGTCAATCGATGATTCTCATCATTGATGTTTCTCTCTTTCCCTCTCCCTTCCTCTCTGAAATCAATAACATACATATATTAAAAAAAAAAAAAAGTAACTCGAACAAATGGGAGATACAGCTTATTCGTGAACAGAATAACTCAATGCTATAAAGATTTCAGTTCTCCCAAGACTAATCTATAAATATAATGTAACTCCAACCATAATCTCAAAAGACTTTTTTAACCTGACAAAATTATTCTAAATTCCATTGGGTAGGATAAACATGTGAAAATAGCCAGAAGAATTTTGAAAGTATCATAGGAAGGAGATAGCACTATCACAACATTATCAGAACCTATAATTAAAACAGTGCTCTTCTTCTTCTGAACTGGACATGCAAGCCACCAGAAAAAAGAGCTAAATATATGTATAGATAGTATTTCTAAATTCAAAGAAAATTCAAAGGTAACATTCTAAATTGGTGGCAGAAAACAAGATTATTCAATAACTGGTTTTGGATAAATTAGCTATTTGGGGGTGGCTGGGTGGAGGTGAAAGCTGGATCCTTGCAACAAAGTATATCCCTGACAACAAAATTGCAGAGTAGTCACAGATTTAAAAGCAAGAAAGGAAAAAAAGCCCGGTTTGGCTCAGTGGATACAGCATCGGCCTGCGGACTGAAGGGTCCCAGGTTCGATTCCAGTCAAGGGCATGTACCTTGGTTGTGGGCACATCCCCAGTAGGGGGTGTTAAGGAGGGAGCTGATCGATGTTTCTCTCTATCCCTCTCCCTTTCTCTCTGTAAAAAATCAATAAAATATATTTTAAAAAAAGAAAGGAAAACATATCTAAAAAGCCAAATATATTGTTTTAATTATAAAATGAATATGATGGTCAATTCAGAAGCTATAAAACCACAGACTCATAATTTAACAAACCACTGGGCACTATCCCAGCAGATTCAGGCAAGAGAGCAGAAGAGTGATGTAGTTTTTAATCTCACATCCCACCCATTCCCTACTCCCTACTGTTAACACCACACACATACACGGAGAGCAACTAGTACTGAAAAACCTTGGTGTAAATATCTGTAACAGAACTTAGTGTGAAAGTACCCCCAAATATACAAGTGGGTGGGGACAAACTACCAAAAAGACAAATTTGGTATCAGGATCTGTGCAAGGCCAAGTAGAAGGAAGCAACAGGGCATCTAGAGCCCTGAGACACCCTGACTCCCCACCCCATAATCAACAGGAATTCAGAGGAGCAACTGGGCAGCAGCTGAAACTGGAGTTTTTTCAAAACCTAGTGGAAAAATGTGGGCAAGTGTGTGAGGTCCCTGAAGAAGGTAGCGAGGGCTGGTGCAGGTTATGCACACTCAAAATCAACCTGCCAGTTCCTCAGACTGAGGAGAAACTACAGGAACAGAATCCAAATTGAGCAGAACAAGAACAATAGAGGTCCAGACAAACAAGGCCCAGATAAAGGAGGGCAGAACCAGATCTCAGAAAGTAAGCTGACATATTTCTTTACACTCGACAGAAGAGAGAGAGGTCAGAGAATAGTTAGAAAAGCTACCCTGACCCACTTGTCCTTTCTAACAGAACAGGAAAGGCAATTTCATGTAAAACTGGGCAATAGAAGATAAACTAGGTCAAATCCCACACAAAGAAAAAAGAGAATAAGGAACAAATACACCCCTATGACAACAAAAGCATCACAGAGACATGCTGGGAGACCAAAGAAAACTATAACAATACCTCATAATGAATTAAAATACATCAAGAAAACGACATAAAAATATGAATCATATAAAAAAATTAGAAAATATTTTAAAATGGGCATTAAAATTCAAGGGAAAAAATTTCAGAAAATACTAAATTAAAAAGATTATTCACAGTGAATAAATAAAATAATTTCTTAAGATAAAAAGGGTGAAATGGCCCTAACCGGTTTGGCTCAGTGGATAGAGCATCGGCCTGCGGACTGAGGGGTCCCAGGTTCGATTCCGGTCAGGGGCATCATGGTTTCGGGCACATCCCCAGTAGGGGGTGTGCAGGAGGCAGCTGATTGATGTTTCTCTCTCATTGGTGTTTCGAACTCTCTATCCCTCTCCCTTTCTCTCTGTAAAAAATCAATAAAATATGTTTTTTTAAAGGGTGAAATGTTTAAAGATCAGTAATAAAGAAAGAAAAGAACCCAAGCAAAACGGACGAATAACGAAGATATATAATAGCAGTCCCCAAAGAAGAACACTTAAACAAGGGAACAGAACAAACTTAGAGCTTCAATTTTCCTGAAATTGAGAATAAAAAAAAAGACTTGACATTGACACTACATACTGAAAGAACATACCATATGTCCTATTCCAGAACAACCCATAACAACACACTGTAGTAGCTCGGGGGAAAATTGGAGGAGAAATCCTGTGGGCTTCAAGCAAAAAGAATAGGCATTCATGAGAGAAAGAAAATCATATTTGAATCAGACTCTGATAGTATGCCTTATGCCAAAAAAAAGAAAGACTGTGACCCAAGAAATTTATCCAAACTGACTTTCAAATAAAAGGCTTCAGATACACTGTTGTTATACAGAAATGCAAGGAGTGTTTGCTCACAAGCCCTTTCTGAAGAAACTAACAAATGAGCAAGACAACCAAAATGACTGGATAGACAATAATATACGGAATGATGGTGAGCATTGAGTATGTGTTTATTTGAAGAGTTAAGATTAAGGTAAATTAAAGGGAGAGACTATGTTGTATAAACAGTGTTCTTATAATGCAGGTGCAACACAATTACAAAAAGTGGCAGCACTGAATCATACACTAAAAAGTGGTTGAAACGGTAAGTTTTATGTTATGTATATTGTACCACAATAAAAAAGGGGGAGAAGCCCTAGCCAGTTTGGCTCAGTGGATAGAGCATAGGCCTGTGGACTGAAGGGTCCCAGGTTCAATTCGGGTCAAGGGCACATACCTCGCTCGGTTGCAGGCTCAACTGCTGACCCTGATCAGGGCACATGCGGGAGGCAACCAATTGATGTGTGTCTCTCACATCGATGTTTTCCTCTCTCTAAAAAAACAATGGATGCCTGATTGGTGTGGCTTAGTGGTTGAGCATTGACCTATAATCCAGGAGGTTCATAGTTTAATTCCCAATCAGGGCACATGCCCAGGTTGCAGGCTCGATCCCTAGTGGGGCGTGTAGGAGGCAGCCAACTGATGATTCTCTCTCAACATTGATGTTTCTATCTCTCTCTCCCTTCCTCTCTGAAGTCAATAATATATATATTAAAAGGGGGTGGGGGAAGTACCTTTTAAGTTTACATTGATACTTTCTATTCAAATTTAGAACTACAAGGTTTTCTATCTTCTATCTTAAAGCTGTATCTTCATTTTTCCATATAAAGAATCCTGGTTCTCATGAAGAAAACTGATTATGATAAAACACAATGTTTATTTCCATAAAATCATAATACTTAAAAAACCAAATCAGTAACCTTTGGAGAATGCTGAGAAACCAACTTGATTTTGAAAACTGGTAAATAAAATTTATAATGTATCCTACCTTTCCTCTACAAACTACTAAAAGGTAATAAAGATAAGGTGAGGTTTCTCTTTATAGAAAAACTCTCATGAAGAAATGACAGGAATTAAAACATCACCAGTCAACAACCCCATTAAACAGGATCTAGTAAGAACTGAACAGCAAGAATGCTAACATCATAAAAGTAGAGATATTATATAAAGTAGAGATGCTATACATTTCCTGATAGAAGAACACATATCACCGATGAAACTGTGTTGCCTACACAAACAAACCTGAATCTGACGAAGCCTCTAGATCCAATTACCAATTCTTGGGAAGTACAAAAGCTAGAGATACATTAAACTACATGTAGATGCAATCAGCAAAATCCAAACTTTGGGAAACTCTCAGGACAGTGATCCAATTTCATCAACAAATATTTTACAAGGGAAAAAACAAGACGGGGTTGGGAGGCGGGGGGAGGATGGGACCTATAAATTAGGAAAAATTTAAAATCACTTATCAAGTGAAAAACAAAACTAAACAGAACAAAATTATTAGAGATGCACACTGGTTGGGTCCAGAAGATTATAATTGGAAGGAAGCCTTGAGCAGCTTCTGGATAAGCTGACAAGTTCTACTTCTGACCTGAGTGATGGCCGCAAACATATTTGCCTTAAAATAATTCATTAGCCTACCATTTATTTATGTGATCTTCCATTTGTATTTTAATTATAAAAAGTACATGAAATGCTTATATACATATGTATTTGTAAGTTTATGATTGTTTATATGATTTTTATACTTGTAATATTTAATCATATCCCCCCCCCAAAATTTATAGTAATACATATCACAAACCTGAATACTAGGCAAATGTCATTAGTAGGATAATTAAGGTCTCCACAGATTCCATGCTCAACACTGTACCTTACACTTTACTGAATGTTTAAAAAAAAAAAATAAGAAAGAAAGAAAGAAAAACTTATCATACACCAATTCCAAAGGCTGGGGAAACAAACAGTATCACAGACACTGGGCTAATATCCATAATATATTAAAAGTCCTAATGAATCAATACTTAAAAAGATGCCCATTAGAACAATGGATAAAGAACACAAACAGGTTAATTCAGAGAGAAAAATACAAACTATCTTTAAAGGTTTTATAAATAAAGACAGTAAATAACCAACCCCCAATAACTAAAACAAGTTGGCAATTATCTATTAGCCTGGCAAAGACCAGGATTGATGAAACCCTCTAAGTATTGGCCAGGATATAGGGAAACCAGCAGTCATATTACTGGTGGGCGTGTATGTTAACATCAATCTTACAAATTAATTTGGCTTTCTATTAATTCCTCCTACAGAAGTCAGACAAATAAAAAGACATATGTACATTAAAATACTGTTGGCAATAATGAAAAACATGAGACTAATCCAAATGTCCATTAATGGAAGATTTAATGAAGTTATAAAATGAAGCCAACAATGATTAAAAAGAATGATGTGTGCTTATTCTGAAAGCTCTCCACAATATAAAAATATAAGTACAAAAAGTAAATTGCACACCAGTATATGATGATGCTACTGGAAAAATTGCACAACACTGGTCTATCAGAAGTAAACACCCATGTAATTCTAGCATTGGACTGAGAAAATACTGTATACATATCAACATTTAACCATGTTACCATCCACACCCCTTTAAAGGACAGCCTGCAAGGTTATGAATATTAATACTACCTCACTGGTACTATTAAAGAATATATGACATTTGTGCAAAACTTACAAGAGCCAGGTATATTATTCAAGGACCTGATGCGCTGTGATGAACTGGAATTTACCTTAGACTGTCAGTCATCTTGACCTGAATGAAAGTGAAATGGAATAATGTTATCTGACAATATATAGTAAGTGCATACAAGATGGAGAGTTGGAATTGAATTTCATGAAATAAATACCTTACAGACTTGTGACTGGTGGTTTCCATGCTCCTGGGGCAAAAGTAGGTCATTACTTATTGGCCCAATATTGCCACTGAACTGTCAGACACCAGCCTCTCTTTCCTTTGGGTGATGACCAAATTCAAAGGTGTGTTATACTGAAAAAGAGTATTGTACCCATCTATTCACAAACAATGGGAAGAACTGAGTGATGGAATGTGTTAAGAGACCACTGGGCAATCCTGCTTCAGCAGTCCAGGGACTTTCTTGGCCATTTGACACCTGGTAATGCTTTTTTCTCCTAAGAACATATAGAATTATTCAACTTTTTCATCCCCCAAAAATGTGAGTTATACCAAGATATTGTAATAAAGCAGGGATGTCCCGTTATCATTGTAGTTTGCGTGTGAGAATTTTTTGCATGCCTATTGTTTTTTGTCTGTTAGAGAAAAGAAGCCCCCGCCTAGTGCCCAAATAAGAACGGATCAACTGTAGTGGAATGCTATTACTGCCAATCATTTTAGGACTTAAAACTCAAACACTTACCAGATAATGTAAGATTGGGTAAATCATCCTCTCTAGGCCTGTTCTTCAATAAATGAAGACAGTTCTTAGGGTTTGGGGAAGTCCAAACGAAATATAAAGTATTTAACTAGTAGGCACAAAAACATACATTGTTTCCTTTCTCCCTTTGGTTAGAACATTTTCCCAGATATGATTATTTTAAGGAATACACCTCAAACAATATATGAAATCAAAAAACCACAGCAGCCCTAATCAGTTTGGCTCAGTGGATAGAGCGTCGGCCTGCGGACTGAAGGGTCCCAGGTTCGATTCTGGTCAAGGGCATGTGCCTTGGTTGCGGGCACATCCCCAGTAGGGGGTGTGCAGAAGGCAGTTGATTGATGTTTCTCTCTCATCGATGTTTCTAACTCTCTATCCCTCTCCTTTCCTCTCTGTAAAAAAATCAATAAAAAATATATTTTTAAAAAAACACAGCATCTAATTCTTTGCACAATAGATCTTTCTACAATTTTCTATTAAAATTCACTGCCTGCTTCTTGGATCAGAAGACTTTTACAAAGTGGCATAAATACTGCTTCTACCACACAGAGTAATTACTTCCATGGAGCCACACCATTTGCGCTATACAGAGGACTGTGAACGGCAGCATTTTACAGGAGAAAAGAGTTCTAGGTATCAGCTTGCCCTCCAGGTAGTACTACGTTTTCTCTCTGAATACAGAAGCAGGTGATGAAGTTGGGGCCACACACAGGTAGAACTGGTGTGCACTCTGCTGTGAGCAAACACTGGCAGAAGTTCAGGCAGGCCTCTCCCTTGCCTGAGATAGTTGCTGCTGAAATGAAAAATATCCATTACTTCTAAAATCTTTTCAAGGGAAAAAAATAATAAATCTTCACTTGAAAAGAAATGCCAAGATACTGATAGCAGTTTCCAGTATGCATTTTATGGGAAGAAACTATAAACTGATAGTTTTTATACTTAGTTTCCACCAGTAGTATAATTTTAGGAGGTAAGGAGTTTATTTTAATGGACAGAAAATCTGTCTTTTCTCATGTGTTAAAACAAGGACTGGAAACTACTGCCCATGGCCAGCTGCCTGTTTCTGTAACCAAGAATTTATTAGAACACAGCTTCACCCATTTATTTGCATTATCTATGGCAACCTTCATTCAGCAGAGTTGGGTAGTTGCAACAGACACCATATGTGGCCTAAAGCCTAAAATATTTACTATCTGACCCAGGAAAAAAACCTTCTGCCCCAGCTGGGTAGTTCAGTTGGTTGGAGTGTTATTCTCTACATCAAAAAGGCTGTAGGTTTGATTTACAGTCAGGGCACACCTAGGTTGTGGTACAATCCCCAGTTGGCACGCACAGGAGGCAGCTAATTGATGTTTCTCTCTTTCTCTATTTCTCCCTTCCTCTCTCTCTCTAAAACCAATAAAGACATATCCTCAGGTGAGAATTAGAAAAAAAAAAGGCCCTCCAACAACTACATTAAAATATTACCACACTATACTAAGGCTCAGTAAAACTTCCTTAGAAAGAAAACTAAGGTAAAATACAAAAGTACAAATGACATGCTTGCTCTGATTCAGGCACTTTCAAGATCATAGTTTATTTCTTCAGATAAAAAGATAGTATACATATTAGGGAATCCATCTAGTAGTTTTGCATTGAATGTTAACCAAAAAAACTCTAGACACCTGAAAGCCTCACTATTAACATGAACTATGGTAATAAAAAATTTGACATTTAATTTGTTCAATATATAGTATTTACATTATGAAACCAATAGTGATATTATTGATAAACAGTGATAAAGAAATAGTAAAAAGCAAAGGTTTATATTTTTATAATGTGCTAATTGTCATAATTGTACATAAAAATTAAAACATAGCAGAGCTTTCTGTTATAAAATTCTTAATCATCTGAACTGTAGTCATTACTTGATAACAATTTACATGCAACATCTGCTATAAATGACATTTGATTTCTTTGTGAGAAATTGTGAGTAGATAAATGACATTTAAGAGCAAACATTAATTTACTTGTGGTCAAAAAAACAAAAAAACTGTACTCAAGATTAGTACTGGTCACAAGCCTCTTCCATACAGAAATGGTAAAAACAGTAAGACAAAAGTATTTGCAAAAGGAGATGCACAGCTGAAGAGTGCCATGAATGGCACAGCTCAAAAAATCTTGGGACCAGACACATATCTTTTCTCTCTCCTTCAATGGTGAAAGGTCTATTTTGCCATCAAATAATAGTAACTAAAGCAAGTGAGGGCACCAGGTGTACAAGAAATTAAATCTTGCAAAATACTAAGATGGAGGCAGGTGTGGCCAGAAGAAGGGACAATTTATATATAATTCAAACTATATACAGCATAACTGGAATGCAGCCCATCCCAAACTGGCTTTGTGAAACAGTTGGACCGTTATGATTTAATAGTTAAAATTATAACAAGTTGTATAACAGATTTACATGGGACACAAAATCAAAGGGGCATTTTATATTATTTACTGTGTTGTTTCAATTTAAAAATAACTTTGCTAAGTATACATCTCAACTGAGGTCTATGTATAAAACATCCTAATAGATACAGATATTTACCTTTGGTGAGTTAAAGGCCTTTTTGTGATTTCTGTCTGAATTGTAGGCAGAATGGGAGATGCACATGCACATAGGGGAAAACTCAAACTGAGGTAATCCGAAGGTCTGCATGTGAGGAGACTGGAGGTTACTTTGAAAGTCAAAGCATACCAGAAATCCAGAACAGGTAACAGTGAGCATGGCAACAGAAGGAATGGAATGCCAATATGGCAGTAAAACTTTTTAAAACAGAAAGAGGAAGGCCTCTCGTACCAGCAGAATCCTGCATACATATTAAAAAAAAACAAAAAAAAGCCACCTACCATTTCATAAAACAAAAGCCAATTATAGTGTGGGAAAGTATAAATTGCAGAAAACCAGAAGTCAATAGCAGAAAAACTACTGGTTTACTTGAGAGGGAGGAGGAGGCTTCCCCCTGGGCAGTTACTTGGTGAAGGCCGCCACCACCGCCCACAGAACCTCGTTGGCGTTGGCCTTCACACATTCCACCTCAGGATCCAAGTCGAGGAGCTGCCGCACTCTCTTGGTGGCTAAATCATACTGCTCATCCAGCAGGGGAGCAAAGGCATTCTCCAGAACATCCGAGGCGTGGGCGAGGTAAATGAGGGCCAGCAGGCGCTTGTCCATGCGGTGAGGGTCATTCACCCATTTGTCAAGAACAGCTTCCTGTACCTTCTTGATGAGGCGCTGCTTAATGTTGTTGTTGGTGAGGGGATGTGTGGTCATGTCAAAAAGTAGGAAGTTCTGTTTCTCTGTTGTCAATACGCCCTTTTCTACCAGGTTTTTAGCTAACCGTTCCCGTACATTCCTTAATTGATAATGCAGTTTTAATGGATTCCATGTTTCACCTAAACAAAATATTTCAGAAGTTAGAAATGATAGGTATTAGGTTCCAGTCAAGATAGAAGAGAAGGTAAGTGCTGTGCTCACCTTCTCCCACTACTACATCAAAATTGCAACTAAACTATGAAACAAACATCATTGAGAACCACCTAAAGACTAGCTGAACATAAATGCTATACCTGAGGAGATAAAGAAGAAGCCACAAAGGGACTGGTAGGAGAGGCAGAGACATGAAATAAGCTGGTCCCACACCCATGAGGTGGCAATTAAGAATCAGAGGAACACTCAAGCTGTGGAGGACCCACTAAGGAGTAAGGGGTCCCAGCCCCAGACACCAGTGCTGGGAAGAGAAGTCCCCATAACATCTGGCTGTGAAAACCGGCAGGGACAGCATCCCAGTGAGAACAAGGGCTGCTGGAGTCGCAGGCGCTCCTCTTGAGGCCGCACAGTCGCACTAGCTCACAAACTCACTCACACGGTTCCAGTGTAGGAGCAGCAGCTAGAAAAGCACCAAGGATATATAGGGAGAAACTAAATTGACTAGCTTCAGGGAAAGTGCTGGAAGAGCAGGGATTGAGACAGCTCTCTCCCAGGGAGGGAGTGCTGGCAGATACCATTGGTCCTTTGTTGAGCCCTCCCCCAACCCAGCCAGCCAGTCTAGCATAGATGGGCACCAAATCAGAGCTCTCCATTAACCTGGAAACACCATTGTCCTGCCCTGGTGATTCCCTGAGACCCTACCCTATCTAACAGCCTGCAGGTCCACAAACCCAAACAAGCAGTGGCTGTCCATGGTGTTTCCTGTACCTCTAGCTAAGCTACCCAAGTCTGGCACAAGCAGCAATAGGTGTGAACTTGCACTGTAACTATCATCAAGTAGCCCCAGGCCTGGCATACACAGTGACCAGTCTGGCCTTGGAACACAGCCTCAACAAGCAGCCATAAACCCCACACAAGTTGCAGGCCTGGTTTGCAGAATAGCCACTCCCAAGCAGCAACCAACTGCAATTTCATAGCTCCACCAGACAACAGCCCCAAGCTGGGCACAATCAGTGAAATTAGACCATACAAAAATCAACTCAAAGTGGATAAAAGGCTTAAATGTAAGACCTGAAATCATAAAACTTACAAAAGAAAATATAGGCAGTAAATTCTGACATCGCTCTCAGTAACATTTATTTGGAAATGTCTTCCCAGGAAACAAAAGAAAAGATAAACAAATGGAACTACATCAAACTAAAAAGTTTTGGCATCGCAAAGGAAATTATCAACAAATCGAAAACAACCTCCTGAATGGAAGAAGATATTCACCAATGATACATTTGATAAGGGTTAAAACCCAAAATATGTAAGAACCCCTCCCCCCTAAAAAACAAACAAACAAACAAAAACAACTAAAAAATGGGCAGAGGACTTGAATCAGTATTTCTCCAGAGAGGACATACAGATGGCCAATAGACATATGAAAAGATGCTCCACATTACAAATCAGGAAAATGCAAATCAAAACCACAATGAGGTATTACCGCACACCTGTGAGTATGGTTTCCATCAATAAATCAACAAACAGTGTTGGCAAGGATGCAGAGATAAGGGAACCCTGTGCATTGTTGGTGGAATTGTAAATTAGTGCAACCACTATGGAAAACAGTACGGAGGTTCCTCAAGAAATTAAAAATGGAACTACCATATAATCCAACAATCCCTCTTCTGGGTATGTATCCAAAGAACTCTAAAACACTAATAAAAAAGGATATAAGCACCCTCTATGTTCACTGCAGCATATTTACAATTCAGCCCTGGCCTGTGTGGCCTCAGCACCAAAAGATCATTGGTTGGATTCCCCGTCAAGGGCACGTATGTAGGTTGCAGGTGCAATCCCAGGCCCAGTCAGAACACATATGGAGGCAATGGATCAATATCTCTCTCACACATTTGTGTGTGTGTGTGTGTGTGTCCCTCCTTTCCCTCCCCTCTCTAAAAATTAATGGGAAAAATATCCTCAGGTGAGGATTAACGGGGGGAAAATTCTCAAACGAATTAAAAAAAAATAAAATGGCTATTATAAATATCTAAATAACTTAAAGGAAATATGAAAAGAAAAGACCTTTTTTTTAAACAAGTAAATGATCTGAATTGTTGCCGGGAGCCGGTCCATGCTTGCTGTTTCAAGGGACCTGGCATATATGGCATACTGTTCTTAATATGTTTGCTCACCTTCTTGGCACTATGTGTTTTAACCAAGGTCTCTGAGAAAGGTTGTTTCCCCAGGTAGGGATTTTCCCCTGAAGTTAGGGAGGGAATAAAACCTCTTAACTAGTGCCAGGTGGGTAATTAATCACTTTAACTACGAACAATCATGCTTAAGCTACATAATCTTTACTCCCTGGAATGGAGATAAGAAATGCCCTAACCTTTGGAATAGAGATTGACAGGATTAAAATCAACTGGTATAAATACGGATGTAACAAAACAATAAACAGCAGAACTTCGCTGGAGATCCAGACCAGAACTTGGCTGGAGATCCTGGCTGGAGATCCTGGCTAGGCTGCTGATCAACTGAACACTGTCTCCGTGTCCTTCCTTCTTCGCCGACTCCATCTACACCTTTGGGGACCCCTGGACCTGCTGGGGTTGGACCCCGGCAAATTGTGATTTTTCATTTTGTGAATAACTTTGTGAAACTAGGAACTTGAAAACAATTATCAAATAATAAAGGGTTGGTACCAAGAGTTATTAGTAAATTGAAGTTACTGCCTGCATTTAAAGAAAACATTCACTTTCCAATTTAAAAAACCTAGCAAATTAGCTTCCGCAAAAGACAAACAACCAATGCATTCAATTTCCTTGGTAACTTCAAAAAAGAGCTAAAATATATTTAGGGGTCCTATTAGACTTTAAAACCTAATTGTATAAAAGAAAAATATAATAATAAATGAAATACTAACTTATAACAAGTTATGGAGCCAGACTGGTGGATATGATTTCAACTTGGTCATTTCCTAGCTATGCCTTAGAGAATATCTTGGCCATTTATTCCCAAACAAAGGCACGGGGTGATATGTGCATAAGACTATTCTGAGAAACCCAAAGTTAAATTTCTCTTTGGCAGACCTGAAAAACAAAACAACCCCCCCACCACCACCACCACCAATGCTGCTATACAATGACTTTTTTCTTTTTCATGGGAAATAAATGGGATTAGCAGCTTATGGCTGTCTATTATATTAAAGTTATACTAAGGTTTATCTACAACTTATCTATAATTAAATCTTATCTATTGCAACCAATGGAACAAGTAATGCTTACAAAGTTGCTGTAAGAAATTTCTCAATTTCAAAATATGCTGACAAGTCAGTGTTGCTACTAAAAATGAGAAGAGTCTGAACACAGACAGACCCACTGTCAAATAAGGTGCTCCATTTATGAGTGGACCTTCTTATGGGCAATCGCTCCTGCCTCAGAGGAAGTAATAAAAAGGCATTTTGCCCTTGCTGGTTTGGCTTGGTGGATAGAGCATTGGTTTGCGGACTGAAGGGTCCCGGGTTCGATTTCGGTCAAGGGCACATGCCTGGGTTGCCGGCTGGATCCCCAGTCGGGGCATGAAGGAGGCAGCCGATCAACGATTCTCATCATTGATGTTTCTATCTCTCTCTCCCTTCTCCCTTACTCTCTGAAATCAATAAAAATATATATATTTTTAAAAAGGTATTTAGACATCATATTCTTTTGTACCAATTCCCTGGAAAAGGGCAAACCTTGTGTATTCACGCCAACAAAATTGTTATTCAGATCTCCTCAGTTATGTGAAAAAATGAATAAATCTCATAAGCAGAAGGTTGATGAAACAGTGTAACATACAAGTGGGGGTGTTAAGCACCCCCCCCATAAAATAACTGAATGGTCAATAACTGAATGGACTTCTTTTTGAGTTCCTTCACTTTCAGAGAACCCTATTGTTAAACTCTGTGAGTCTGTCAGATGTCCCAAAGGCAAAAGAGGAAGAAGGCTAATCTTGGTATTCTGACATTTCTGCTTTTTACTTTAAAAGAACCAAATTAAGTAAGCTAAATACAAAAAATAAAGTCACCCCTGAGATTAGCATAGTTTAACAGTATAAATTGGGGTGGGAGAAGGGTAGTTGTGTAAGTAAAAGGAAGATACAGTAAGATTTAATCTATACTAACTAATAAAGATTTATCTGCTTCAATTTAAGCAGAATATTAAATAACTTTCAAATATTTGTAATAAATGCCTGATAAAGAAATAGTACTAAAAATTCTAGATTAAAAGATGTTACTATAATCCATATTATTATTCATCAGTCCCTAAAGAATTTATTTACCATTTTGTAAACAAACTTGTGAGAAGCATATAGAGAGGCAAAGTTCTTCAAAGATTATGTCCTCTGCCTAACAATTACTTCAGTGGAAATGACATACTGGTAGCTACCTACATAATTCACTACAAAAAACTTCTCTCTTCCTTGACATCTTATTACAAAACTAAAAGCAGCTGTTCAGAAATTTGGCAGTCTAGTGACACCTTGTGACCAAATTTATCAATTACATATCTTAAGATTTCAAAAAGCCAGAAACTTTTACTCTTATTTCATTTTTAAATATGTTTTTATTAATTTCAGAGAGAGGAAGGGAGAGGGAGAGAGGGATAGAAACATCAATGATGAGAGAAAATCATTGATTGGGGCCTTCTGCACACCCCCAAATGAGGATAAAGCCTGCAACCCAGGCATGTGTTGACACTCAACCACTGAGCAACACTGGCCAGGCCAGAAACTTTTATTCTTAAAAACAGTTTTTAAAATACTTTTTAAGTCTTTGCCTCAAATATATGTATATTTATCAAATTTTAAATTAATGATATAAATAATATTTATAATATATCAGTAGGTTTTAGCATGTATGATGTAGTGTAAATAATAATAAAATTAACCCTTGAGTATCTCTCTATCCAGGTAAAGAAGAAACCTTTGTCAGGACCTTAGATGCCTCCTGTGTCCTTCTCTGCCTCAGAAGTAATCACCAGACCAACTAGTGTTACTCATTCTCTTTTCCCTACCACCTATGTAAGTATCAATACATCGTTTTGAAAACCAAGTAGCAAAAAGACAGTGGATAGGGCCACCCATTTTAGTACTCCTGTAATCCCTCTGAATAGGAATGCTTCCCTCTTTGTCTCATTCTGATCCTTCACAGGCCTAAACCAAGTTCTATTTCCTCCTCCAACTACTAAAGCTCCAAGGACTTCTTTTTGAGTTCCTTCACTTTCAGAGAACCCTATTGTTAAACTCTGTGAGTCTGTCAGATGTCCCAAAGGCAAAAGAGGAAGAAGGCTAACCAGAGAGGGTTGGCAATGGGTGGGCCACAGTGCTAAACTGTTTTGTCTTGTGTTAAGTGGATTTGTGGGTTCATATTACCTAGTTTTAACCAAACAAATCCTCATCAAATGTGCAAGGTAATTTTAAGATCCCTACAAAAGAAATTATAAATTATCCCCAATATCAAAAGCACAAAGAAGGGAAAGAATTCAAGTTTTTCCTCACTGAATGAGGTAAAAAAAAACTTTACCAGCAGATCTACAAGAAGGCAGTCAAGCCGAAACCGGTTTGGCTCAGTGGATAGAGCGTCGGCCTGCGGACTGAAAGGTCCCAGGTTCGATTCCGGTCAAGGGCATGTACCTGGGTTGCGGGCACATCCCCAGTAGGAGATGTGCTGGAGGCAGCTGATCGATGTTTCTCTCTCATCGATGTTTCTAACTCTCTATCTCTCTCCCTTCCTCTCTGTAAAAAAACAAAAAAAAAAATTTAAAAAAAAAAAAAAAAGAAGGCAGTCAAAAACAAAATTTCAAAATTATCAAAACAACCTGTGAATAAGTTTGATTAGCTAGCCAGTGTTGCTCAGTGGTCAGAGTGTCTGCCCACGCACCTAAACGTCTCAGGTTTGATAAGGGCAAGTACCTGGGTTGTGGGTTTGCTCTCACTCTCTCCCCCTCCCTCTCCCCCTTTCCCCTCTGAAAAGCAATGGAAAAAATAACCTCATGTGAGGATTGTTTTTTAATGTGAATGGTTGGAAGTATTACATACACGCCCCCCCCATAAATCCCCTCCAGCTGGCCCCCACCCCAGGCCTTCACCACCCTTCTACTGTGAGGATTAACAAACAAAAAAAGAATGCACCCTGTCCTAAATGTAAAGTGCCCATTGTTGCCCTCTTAGCTAAGAATATAATATGTGTATTCAATTTTTAAATAAATAAACATGCAAAACTCAAATTTTTTTACTAATAGAATATCCTCATAATAGGACTATTATTTGAGAAACTGAGAGAAATGACATGTTAATTACTGATCTCTGACAAAGTCCACATGTTGTTTAAAACAGTTACTTTAAAAACAAAACAAAACAAAAAGTTACTTTAAGCAGCAATACATTTGAACATGAAATAATAATACATGTACAGTTGAGCCTTGAACAATGCATGGGGTAGGGGTGCTGAACCCTGAGCAGTCTAAAATCCACTTATTACTACTGACCAGATGACTTACTTGTAACACATAAAGTCAATTAACATATATTTTATATGTTATATGTATTATATACTGTATTCTTACAATAAAGTATGCCAGAAAAAGAAAATATTAAGAAAGTCATAAGAGTCCTAACTGGTTTGGCTCAGTGGATAGAGCGTTGGCCTGCGGACTGAAGGGTCCCAGGTTCGATTCCGGTCAAGGGCATGTACCTTGGTTGTGGGCACATCCCCAGTAGGGGTAGTGCAGGAGGCAGCTATTCGATGTTTCTCTCTCATTGATGTTTCTAACTCTCTATCCCTCTCCCTTCCTCTCTGTAAAAAAACCAATAAAATATATTTTTTTAAAAAATAAAGTCTTAAGAAAGAAAAAATACATTTACAGCATTTATTGAAAAAAAAATCCACATATAACTGGACCCATAGGGTTCAAACCCATGTTGTTCAAGGTCAACTGTGTGCAGAAGATATGTTTTATATAAGAGTAGTAGAGAGGAAGAACAAGGTAACTTAGATCCTATACCAGAGGTGGGCAAACTTTTTGACTCGAGGGCCACAATGGGTTCTTAAACTGGACCGGAGGGCCGGAACAAAAGCATAGATGGAGTGTTTGTGTGAACTAATATAAATTCAAAGTAATCATTACATAAAAGGGTACGGTCTTTTTGTTTTGTTTTATTCATTTCAAACGGGCCATATCCGGCCCGCAGGCCGTAGTTTGCCCACGACTGTCCTATACAGAAAGAGCTCTCTATCTAGAAGATTAGACAAATACACAAATAATATAATAGTAACATTAGTGCTGTCAACCAAATATTTCAGGTTCTTCTCCACTACATTCACACTTTCCTATCTCCTTAAACTTAGGGGAGGCCATGTGACTTGCTCTGACCAATGAAACCTGAACCATGTGTCATTTCTGAGCAGAAACTGAAGAGCCTGGGAGATCTGCCGTGCTCATCTTCCCTTCCCAACAGTGACAATGCTCAAGATGGTGACAAGTCCCACTGCCTGCCAAAGTGAGAATGAAGTGGCCTGTGACTGACCAACAGATGAGTGAGAAATAAACTATTATTTTGAGCCATTAAGGTTTTGGGGTTGTTACCACAGTTTAACCTAACCTACCCAGAATAAGGTGACATGAGGTAATTCTGATAAAGAATGATGGGAGCTCTAAAGAATAATATTACATTTCATTCAACAGCTGCTCAGTCTTATTAAAAGGCATGAACTTTTTAAAAACACTATTTTCCCCATTCAGTCACTAACTTACAACTTAGACTAAATAACTAAACAAACTCTTAGCTATTGTGTCTCAGTTCCATTCGAAAGGATTTTAAACTTTCACAAAAAAACTTTTGAACATAATTCAAATTCTAGTTTATAGACAGAAACTCACCACTAAGTAATTCGATCCAGTTCTGGACTGTTTCTGCAGGCTGAGTCTCCTTAACATGCTTTAGAGCTTCATCAAGAAGAACATCCCCTGTTGGGGCATCAGACTTACAGATCACCTAAAATGTAAGCAACACGAATAAAATGACCCACTGATACCTTTTCTCTGACTTGATCTCTTTGAATGAAAAACTTAAATAATTATGTAAGTAATTTTTTATGGCTAAAGCCTCAAGTGTACTTGCAATAGCAAAATTCAGATTTTAAATTAATTCTATATTAAGAAAATCCGGTATTTAACCTAACCAGATTAGCTACAATCATGAATGAAAGTAATCTTAATTAGTAAAGCAAAATGCTAGAAGATACTAACTGTAATTCCTTTCATTACTAAACCTTGGGCTATTTGACCCAGAAATTCATTTTTTATTAGTTGCAGAAACAATTATATGTAGCAATTCTGTATATGAAAAAGGTGGCATTTTACACCAGTAGAGAAATAAATTTGTCAATGATTATTAAAACAACTGGCTAATAAATTAGCAGTAAAAATTAAGTAAGACATGACTCCTTAGAGCTTATACCACAATAAAGATTTAAATAATGAAATATAATTGTGAAGGTGAGAAAGGTTTTTTCAAAGTTCTTACAACTTGAAGAAAATACCAATAGGCTTAATGACATAACATTTTTAAATACAACAGTTTTTTTTCTAAACTATATTGGGATATAGAATCCACCTTAACAGTGGAAAAATCCAGTTGGGGAATGAGACAGAAAATTACTATACTGTTTTAGCCAAGTAGTAGATCTCTACAGCCTTCATTAATGTTCTTGCTGCCTAAACAACAAATTTCTAGTGTAAATTCTATAATATCAAATGTGAATCTGTTAGCTATTAAAATGTTATGAAATTTAACAGTATTATTTTTAAATATAACAGTCCTCCTCTTAAAATCTGTCCTCAACAATGTGTCCTTTACATTTTTGCTCAAAAAAGGTAACATTCTTTTGAAAGATTAAAAAATATATACTGTATCTATTTGACAGTGTGACCCAATATAAATATAATAAGAACCACAAAGCTATTTTTTTTCATTTTAGTTACATTAAAAAAGCAAAAGATACAGGTAGAATTAATTTTAATATACTTGACTTAACCCACTACAGCCAAAATATTATTAACATGCAGTAAATACTCTGAAATTAAGATATTTTACATCCTTCTTTTTCCATAGTAAATCTTCAAAAATGCAGTGTGTTTTTATTCACAGCATGTCTCAATTTGCACTAGCCACATTTCAAGTGTCTGGCTCACAGACAAATGTGGCTAGTGGCTATTATATTGGACAATGCAGATACAGAACATTTTCATCATCACAGAAAGTTCTTTGGACAGTGCTCTTCAAGACCATGCTTTTAGTGTGTGTGTGTGGTGGGGGGGAGGGGGCTGTTGAGAGAATAAGAAAAAAGAAGAACCTTGGGAGAAAGAACTGTATGTCTATATAATTGGGGTCATGCCACATCACTTCTTAAATCCATACAATCTAAGTTCAATGCCCACCATATGCCCACGTACGTTCACCCACTTCTGGGTATAAGTAGATCTTTTTTTTTTTTAAATTCTGTCCCCTAAATCTGTCTCAGAGGGATCACTTTTCTCCATCACCATTTCAATTATTCTAGTCTACCTAATCTAGTTATCTTTCACGTGGATTAAGTTTCCTAATGAGTTTTAGCCATTTTCAATCCATTCTCTTCACTGATCTTTATAAAAGGCAAATCTTATCATTCCATTGTTTCTGCTTAAAACTCTTCAACGACTCATAGAGGACGTCCTAAACTCCATAAATAAAATTCAGCAGTGTATAGCCCACTAGCAAATATCCTGTGCTCACACATATAATTTCTACTTAGTTCTTTTTTTCCCCCTTGGAGGAGGGAATTTCATTCTTCCTGAACAGTTAACCAAGGATGACAAGACATTTGAAGGAAAGCCTTCAGCAGCAAAGAGACCAAAAGAGAGGAAATAAGAACTCTGATGAGTCATAGATAACACAAAGAAAACTTTCAAAAGAGCCATAATATCCTCAGATATTTTAAAGATAATACATTCATAAAACAAGAATGAGAAGCCATGATTTAAAAAAATGAAAAAAGGACTCCTAGAAAAGAAAAACATGAGCCAAGGTGATGATTAAAAAAACACAAAAAACAAAACACCCTCAACAGAGATTTAAAGATAAGAGAGGTCAGAGAACATCAATTATACCTCAATAATGCTGGGAAGTAAACAAAAATCAGAAAGGAAAAAAATAAAAACGAGTAGCTAAGAGATCCACATTCAGCTTACAGAGTTAAGAAAACAGAGGGCAAAAGATACAAGAATATAAGAAAACTTTCCAAAACCAAAAGACACACATTTTCACAGTGCAGGAGTGCATAATGAACTTTAAAAAACCCACATCAAGGCAAATCATACAATTTCAGAATACCAGGGATAAATAGATAATCAATCCCAAATGCTTCCAGAAAGGGAAAAGCAGATATCATACCAAGAATGAAAATTAGAAGGGCACCAAACTTTAATGGCAACTCTGTATACTAGAGGACAATAGAGAAATATGTTCAAAAATTATATGCAGAACCCAAGGACACAGACAATAGTGCGGTAAAGGCCTGGGATGGGGATGGGGGGTGGGCGGGGGCGGCCAATACAGGCTAGAAGGGGTCAGGGGGATAAAAAGGGAACATCTGTAACACTACAGGTAAGTTAAAAAAAAATTCTATGGAAAAATAATTTATACCTAACATCCTATTGCCAAATAAAACTAAACTGTCTAATAACTGAAGTAGCATCTTCAAGTACACAAAGTCTCAAAATAGTTTCCTCCCGCAAGGATGGAAAAAAATTAATTAGACCCAGAAAACAGAGGGTTGAAAGCAGTAAAAATGTGACAGGAAGTTCCAGCAGAACCAAAGCATTACCGGCTCAGATTGAAGCAAAATGTGAATTTTAAAGAAGTTAATGGAATTATAAATTTAAACATTTGAAAATTAATACTACTAAGTTTTCTCTGATGGAGCATGTAAGAAAAAAGGACAGCTACATAGAAAACGTTAAAAATAGAATTACTAACTTTAGGGGGGAAAAAAACCATACAAGAAAGGAAAATATCACAGGATATAACTAACTAAAGAAAACAATATTAACATAGTTGTAATGATATAAAACAGTCATTACTGTTGTGCCAACAATTATGACATACTCTATTAGAAAGGGGGCGGGCATAGAGGTGATATGTAAGAGAGCCAAATATGCATCTATTCGGAGAGTAAACAGCATCTCAATTGATTTACCAAGAAATGGCAGTATAAGTTTAGAAATATGGAGGTAAATGCCAAAATAAGAGAACTGTAGCAATCTAAATGGTTGCCCCTAAAAGGTGTTCATGTCCTAACCCCCAAAGCTAATCCCCATTAAATTTTTGTAGATAAAATTAAGTTAATTAGATCTGGAGATGAGACTGTCCTAGATTATCCGGATGGGCCTTAACTGCAATGGCATACAAAGGAGGGACACACAGACAAGGCGATATAAAAAAAGAGTACGGAGAGATGAGGCCAGAAGCCAAGGAGAGCCTGGAACCACCAGAAGCTAGAAGAGGAAAGGAACAGAATTTCCCTTAGAGCCTTCAATGAGAGCACAGCACATTCTGGCCTCCACAACTGTGAGATAATAACTACCTGTTGTTTTAAGTCACAAAGTGTGTGGAATTTGTTAAGGCAGCCCTAGGAAATTAATATGAAGACAGAAACTGGTTGCCTCCCAGAAGCAGGACTAAGGAGTGAAGAAAGGTAAAGAAGACTGCTTTTTTGTTATAAGCCTTTTGGTACAATTTGACTTTATAACTACTATATACATATTACCTTAATAAAATCATTAATTATTTTAAGTGTGTAAATTAAATTACATTGGAGTATTTTTTCAAAAGACGTATCAATTATCTACCTAATTAAGATCTCAAAAGCAGGTAGAATGAAACAATAAGTGCAGGTAGGCAGGGAACATGTGTCTCCTGATCACCATTGTATCTCCAGGATCTAGCTCAACACATGGTAGACTTAAGCACTAAATAAATATAAGTTGTTGATAACTAACATAAAACTGGTCTTGTTACCAAACAAAAAAGTTTCAATATCAGTACAAAAACCCATATCAATATCTTTTAACCAGGTCTGGGCTCCATACATTAATGCAAAATTACTTAAAATTACTAGCAACCTCTGTGTATATTTCACCAATAACTGTAACAGCAGATTCTTAAAGATTCCCCCCCCCCCATAATTCTATGGCTGCACAGTAAAATGAAACAAAATTATATTCAGCTTTATGATATATTTATATAAAACAGTAATTTTATTTTTTTTAATATTTTTATTGATTTCAGAGAGGAAGGGAGGAGGAGATATAAACATCGATGAGAGAGAATCACCAATTAGCTGCCTCCTGCACACCCCACACTGAGGGTTGAGCCTGCAAGCCGGGTATGTACCCTGACTGGGAACTGAACCATGACCTCCTGGTTCATAGGTTGATGCTCAACCACTGAGCCATGCCAGTCCAGCTAAAACAGTAATTTTAAAACTAATCTTATGCCAGTTCATTTTACTTTTAAATGCCTAGATTAAATTTAATTTTAAAGTCCCATGAAAAAGATTTTTCTGCTATATATACTATGTTTACTTTGTACAAAACTTTTAAGAATCATTAATGGCTTTCTTTCCTATACGATTATTAATCTCCATGGCATTATCAATAAAAAAAATGTTCCATTCTGGGCCTTGCTGGGTGGCTCAGTTGGTTGGAGCATCAACCCATACACCAAAAAGGTTGTGGGTTCAATTCCCAGTCAGGGAACATACTAAGTTGCAGGTTCAGTCCCAGGTTAGGGAGTAACTGATCGATGTTCTCTCTCACATCAATGTTTCTATTTCTTTCTCTCCCCACCCCCCCACTTCCCTTCCTGTCTCTTTAAAATCAATAGAGGAAGAAACCAAGATGGCGGCATAGGTAAACACCTGAAATTGCTGCCTCACACAACCACTTCAAAACTACAACTAAAAGACAAAACGGACATCACCCAGAACCACAGGAAGGCTGGCTGAGTGGAAATTCTACAACTAGAAGGAAAGATAAAAGCACACTGACTCAGAGGAGGTGCAGAAGTAAAGTGCAGAGTTACAGAGGCACACGCAGAAAGGGCTGGCAACTGAGGACAAGGTTGTCTTTTTCAATCAGGAGGGAGACACAAGCTCCTGACAGCTCTGAACTCCAGTCCCAAACAAAGAAGAGGAATCTGCAGATCTCTCCATAGCTCCTGCTGGGTAGCCTCAGGCAGAGGCTAAATTAGCACCTCCTTAGAGATCCAAGAGCCAGTGTACCCAGTGGTCAGAGTGGGACCATCCAATTACAATTCCTCAGATCCATAAGGGACACACTCAGTGAGCACCAAAGCCCCACTGAAGCAAGTCTTGCCCCAGAAGGGTGTCTCCAGCACAGAAGTTCTCCCACTGCAGACACAGCTGATTCTCACAGCCAATTGGCCTGGAGGTCAATTCCTCCAAGTGATACCAACAACAATCAAGACTTAACAACAAGACTGTGCACAAAGCCCACAAAGGGGTGCACCAAGAGTGTCCACCTCAGGTAATTGGGGAGGCTGAGCCACTGGGCCCTATAGGACACCTGGCACAGAAAGCCACTCTATCAACACAGGGAAGCATAAAAAATGTGGAGACAAAGAATCAGGTCACAAATGACAGAAATGGAGGAAAGCAAACTACTGGATATAGAGTTCAAAAGGTTATAAGGTTTTTCAAGAATTTTCTAGAAACCGCCAATAAATTTAGTGAGACCCTCGATAAATCTAGTGAGACCCTCGAGGATATGAAAAAGGACCAACTAGAAATTAAGCATACACTGACTGAAATAAAGAATATTATACAGAGATCCAAGAGCAGACTAGAGGATCGCAAGAATCAAGTCAAAGGTTTGAAATACGAAGAAGCAAAAAACAGCCAACCAGAAAAGAAAAAAGAATCCAAAAATATGAAGATAGTGTAAGGAGCCTCTGGGACAACTTCAAGCGTACCAACATCCAAATTATGGGGGTGCCAGAAGAAGAGAGAGAGCAAGACACTGAAAACCTATTTGAAGAAATAATGACAGAAAACTTCCCCTACCTGGTGAAAGAAATAGACTTACAAGTCCAGGAAGCACAGAGAACCCCAACCAAAAGGAATCCAAAGAGGACCACACCAAGACACATCATCATTAAAATGCCAAGAGCAAAAGACAAAGAGAGAATCTTAAAAGCAGCAAGAGAAAAACAGTTAGTTACCTACAAGGTTGTACCCATAAGATTGTCAGCTGATTTCTCAACAGAAACTTTGCAGGCCAGGAGGGAGTGGCAAGAAATATTCAAAGTGATGAATACCAAGAACCTACAACCAAGATTACTTTACCCAGCAAAGCTATCATTCAGAATAGAAGGTCAGATAAAGAGCTTCACAGATAAGAAAAAGCTAAAGGAGTTCATCACCACCAAACCAGTATTATATGAAATGCTGAAAGGTATTCTTTAAGAAGAGGAAGAAGAAGAAAAAGGTAAAGATAAAAATTTTGAACAACAAGTACATATCTATCAACAAGTGAATCTAAAAATCAAGTGAATAAAAATTCTGATGAACAGAATAAACCTGTGAATATAACAGAATCAGGGGCATAGAAAGGGAGTGGACTGACAATTCTCATGGAGAAAGGGGTATGGGGGACAAAAATCATACACCTATGGATGAGGACACGGGGGGGGGGGGGGGGCAGAGGGTGGGGTGGGGACCGGGTGGAGGGGAGCTATGGGGGGAAAAAAGAGGAACAACTGTAATAATCTGAACAAGAAAGATTTAATTAAAAATAATAAAATCAATAGAAGCATACCCTCAGGTGCGGATAAATAAGAAAGGTTCCATTCTGACCTAAACATTTTAGATTTCATTAGGACACTCTATTAAAGAAAAAAGTTTTGAAACACCATGGCCCCAAGAAGCACAATGAAAGTTATGTCAAGTCTTCCCAAATTACAGCTTTCAGAAGCAGGAAATAAAGTGTGGAGTCTTTTTGAATATGTGAGAAGCAATGACCAGTGATCATAGCCATGAATTACATTACTCGTTACACACAAAGAACCAGGAAACCAAGAATGAAAAAAAGACACAGAACCATAATTTAATAAAGATTTAACTTTAAAATCAACTTCCTCTTTAATTTTTGAAAGCTATTAGTAGAAAAACTCTTCATTTTAGGCAGCACAAACTCTTTCATAAGGATATATTTATTTAGCACTCCTCTTACCTTTCTTGTTAATAGACTTTTACGTCTCATTCCACAAGCCTCTAGTTGTAACCTTCCTCTTAATGCTAATTCAATTAACATACAGCCACGTAATCCAGATGATATACAGTCATTCCAAAATGATGTGTAACCCTATTTAAAAAAAGGAAACAAAATAGCTCATTTACTTTTAATTCAGAGACAAAAATAGAAATATTTTTTAACCATTTGGTGCCTTTTACCTTCCATATCTTGCCATAATAATTTTAAATACAATATTGAAAAAAAATACAATTACTATGCATTACTAATCTAGGATTTTCAGGGGTTTACCGTCTTCTCACTACTTATCCTTACCTGCAGATGAATAACTTTAGAAATCAGAGGTTTAAATATATAGTATCTTTCATTCTTCATTAAGTTATGTGTTTATTAAACTCTTCCATATTGCAAGGACCAGGGTTCGACAACACAGTTAACCTCAGATTACAGTGGTTTATTAACAGTATACTATGTGCAAGTTAAGCAGCTCAGGAAAAACCATCTAGCCCAATGTGGCCTCAGGAAGAATTAGAATATCATTCATTCAATCCAGTCTACGATGAAAATACAAAGTTAATTTTGGAAGACTATATAAGAAAATTTATATATGAGCTCATGCCTTAAATTCTGAATGAGAAATAGTAAAACGATCAGATGGGCCTCCAAAGAGAAATTTAAGAGCCCATATCCCAAGTGAAAGAACAGCCAGACAATGAGATTGATAGACACCTAGGGATCTGGGGTTACTCAAGTCTATCAGGAATCAACCAGATGAAGTCGGGGCATTCTTTGAGAGTGAATAACTGGGAGTTGTCTAAATTATGACGCCATGAATTTTGCCAGCAAGGTTGCCAGCTATCAACTTAAAGCACCCAACTCTGAAGAGGAAGCAGAAGCTACAACTGGTTCTAGTTAAAAGTCAGAACAGGATAGCATAATCTTGTGTTGTAGTAGGACCCTAGAGGACAGCACCACAGGGATCCCTAACTAAGCTTGTACCCACAGCTCAGGAATTTGTGTAATAAAAAAGCTGTGTGATTTGCAACTGCATATGTTTCATGTGGTGTGATTCCTCCGGCAATTAATTGAATTATTTTGCATACGCTTAAAATTTAAATTAAAGCCTCTGGTCTTTGTTGGTCCTAAGCCTGCCCTCTGGTCCTGCTTTCGTAGAGTAGTCTCTTCGCTAGTAACTACTTGAACATCCCACACCTGCACAGCTAAAGTTTATCTCAAGGGATGCCTTAGATACACACCCCAGATACTTTCCCAGGATCTCCTTGGGACATCTTGGTAAAAAGAAGAGCAGGCAAATTCATTCTCTCAAGAATGGAGGGCCTAGGATTAAGAAGGCTTAAACTCTAAGACCCTTTGTTCTGGCACTTTCTCAAAGTCAGTCTTGGTACTTTGTCAGGCCATAGTGGTTGTTAATCTGTGTATTTCAGAAGATAACTGACCATCAGGATCCTTGGGCCTTTACTACTGACACAAAGACTTAGCCTAAGGAAGTTACCACCCCTGAGAATGAAGGCTTTGGGAAAATGAGAATTTAGATTAAGGGAGTAACAAGGAAATAAACAAAAATATCAGTTTGAAGAGGGAGATTTGCCTGGCTGGCATGGTTCAGTGGTTGAGCATCAACCTATGAACCAGGAAGTCATGGTTTGATTTTCCGTCAGGGCACATGCCTGGGTTGCGGGCTTGATCCCCAAGTGTGGGGCGTGTAGGAAGCAACCAATCAATGATTCTCTCTCATCACTGATGTTTCCATCTCCCTCTCCCTCTCCCTTCCTCTCTGAAATCAATAAAAAAAATATATTTTTAGAAAAAGAACTAAATTCAAAGCAATCAAAGGGAAAGAATAAGATTACCAAAATAAAAAATAAAAGGACAGAAATTAAAGGATTAGAAGGGAATATTATAAACAATTCATGACAATAAATTAGACAATCTAGACAAAATGTTCAAGTTCCTGGAAAAAAAAAGACATATATTACCAAAAATGGCTCAACAAGAAATATAAAATCAGAATAAAACTATAACGAGAAATTGATTAGGTAATAAAAATCTTCACAGAGTGTCACTGAGATGTAAGAAGAATCTAGCTGGACCAGATGTTGAAAGACCTGAACACTGACCCCCCCCCCCCCCCCAATAAATACTGAAGGGATTTTAAGGTGGTCATTTAATATCCTCTTTAAGTCTCCATTTTCTCATCTACACAATGACAGAGGTAGACTTCAAGCATTCAGCAAGTATGACTCTAATCAATTAAGAATTCCCTAAGGGGATAAATGTGACTTAGAGCAAAACAGTATACATGACCTATTTTAATTTCAAAAAAAGCATTTGCAAGTCAAATCATCAAGGGTATTTTAAAAACTCTTTAGCATATAAAGAACTGTCTGGTGAATGTTAACATATAAGCACTTATAATGAAGTACCTGAAAACTGGTGTTTGGCACTATTACATGTAATTTTAAAGAGGACAAGAAAAAGTTCAAGTTTTCACTAGACACTGAAATCTTTCTAAATATCAGACTGTTAAGAAAATTTGGAAATATCTTGGCACACTCTTAATAGTTACACAGGCATGGTAAGTGTGTAATACATTTAGATTTTAAAATCCAAGTTAAAGACTCTCTGGTTGATAGATTCTGGACTACATGGAAACCTAAAAATCACCACTATTTCCTAAAAACCCCACATTCCAGTATGCTGAGATAATTAATGAAGCCTACAGAAGATGGCTTGTCATCAAAAAGAATATGGGTTAAAAAGCCAAAAAATAAAAGATTTCAAAAAAAAAAAAAAAAAAGAGTTATCCTATCCTTGTATAGAAGCAACTTCTAAAATGGTTCCCAATGATCCCTGCCTCTTGGTATTCATGCCCTCATGCAATCCCCTGCTCTTGAATACACACTAAACCTGGAGACTTGATTCTAAGAAATAAAATATGGCAAATATGCCGAAACCGGTTTGGCTCAGTGGATAGAGCGTCGGCCTGCGGACTGAAAGGTCCCAGGTTCGATTCCGGTCAAGGGCATGTACCTGGGTTGCGGGCACATCCCCAGTAGATGTGCAGGAGGCAGCTGATTGATGTTTCTCTCCCATCGATGTTTCTAACTCTCTATCTCTCTCCCTTCCTCTCTGTATAAAATCAATAAAATATATTAAAAAAAATATATGGCAAATATGATGGTACTAGAGGCCCGGTGCACGAAATTCGTGCACGGAGGGGTGGGGGTCAGCGGGGGTCCCCTCAACCCGACCTGCACCTTCTCCAATCCGGAACCCCTCGGGGGATGTCCAACGGCCAGTTTAGGCCCAATCCCGGGGATCGGGCCTAAACCAGCCGTCAGACATCCCTCTCACAATCCTGGACCGCTGGCTCCCAATCGCTCACCTGCCTGCCTGCCTGGTCACCCCTAACTACCCCCCGCCCCCCATTGGCCTGATCGTCCCTCACTGCCTCTGCGTGCTGGCCTGGTTGCCCCTAACTGCCCCCCACTGCCGGCCAGGTCACCCCCAACTACCCCCCCGCCCCCCCACCAGCCTGATCGCCCCTCACTGCCTCTGCATGCCGGCCTGGTCGCCCCTAACTGCCCCCCGCTGCCAGCCAGGTCACCCCCAACTGCCCACTCCCTGCTGGCCTGATTGCCCCTAACTGCCTCCCCTGCCAGCCTGGTCGCCCCTAACTACCCCCCGCTGCCGGCCAAGTCACCCCCAACCCCCAACTGCCCCCCCGCCAACCTAATCGCCCCTCACTGCCCCCCCTGCCAGCCTCATCACCCCCAACTGCCCCCACCGCCGGCCTGGTCGCCCCCAACTGCCCCCTCCTGCCGGCCAGATCGCCCCTCACGACCCCTCCACGCAGCCTGATAGTCAGTCGTTTGATCATCCCTCACTAACCCCCCTGCTGGCCTGGTCGTAGGCAGCTATCTTGTGAGGGTGTGAGGGTTAATTTGCATATTACCTATTTATTATATAGGATGTCACCTCAGCAATTAGGCTACAAAAAGACTGATGTTCACCTTGGGCCTCCTTCTCCCTTGCTTTGCCAGCTACCATGCTGCAAGTTGTTCTATATAGATACACATAAGGCAAGGAAGAGAGGCTCTCAGTCCAACAACCTGCAAGGAACAGAATCCTCCTCCAGTTGAGCCTTCAGATGAAACTGAAGCTCTGGCCAACAACTTAACTGCAATCTCATGAGGCATCTTCACCTAAAAGCACCCAGTTAAGCAATGCCTGGTTCCTGATCCACAAAAACTGAGATAGTATATATTTGCTGTTTTAAGCTAAATTTTATTATACAGTTTAAGAAAGCTATCATAATGGGTGTCTAGAGCTGGCAGTAATGAGGAAAAAGGAAAGTGAGGGCTAAAGGGTCTGGGTTTTCCTTGGGGGGGGGGGGAATGATAAAAATGTTCTAAAACTGATAGTGGTGATGGTTGCAAAACTCTGTGATCTTTGCACTGTATGGTATGTAAATTACATTTAAACTGTTACCCAAAACAGCTAACAACCCTTGTGTGAAATCACTTCTGAAATCTTACATGAACTTTTTTTTTTTTTTTTTATTGATTTTCTTACAGAGAGGAAGGGAGAGAGATAGAGAGTTAGAAACATCGATGAGAGAGAAACATCGATCAGCTGCCTCCTGCACATCCCCTACTGGGGATATGCCCGCAACCCAGGTACATGCCCTTGACCAGAATCGAACCTGGGACCTTTCAGTCCGCAGGCTGACGCTCTATCCGCTGAGCCAAACCGGCTTTGGCCATGAACTTTTAATTATTTCAAAGTAATTGAGTGGGAAAGTTTTGGGGAAAAAAATTGATCAAGAGAATGAAGGTGACTTCAGCTAAACACAGATTTAAAAACACTAGACTAAAAAAAAAAAAAAGCAAATAATGACTTAAGAACTGGAAAACTATCAACATTTGCAGGTGATATAATTGAATACCCAGAAAAATAAAAAAAGAATTAATGGAAAAATTACTATAAACAGTAAGAGAATTTAGAAAAGTGCCAAGATTATAAAATCAACAGATATCAACAGCTTTCATATACAAACAATAAAATATAAAAGGTAAAAATATTTGCAA